GTAGTGATACTGCCTCGGAAACCCAAGGAGGGGTCGCTATGAGTCAGGGCTGACTCGACGGCACATAACAACAACAAAAGTGGAAGCAACTCTCACCTCTTAAATGAGGTAACTCATTCATTAGAAACGCTGATTGCCAGGGTTTCTAATAAATATTAATCTAATTCTGAGTGTGTTCTGGATCATACTAATAATAACAAATAACGCATAATTAAGCAAAAGAAGAGAGGCAAAGAATGTGTTATAAAGTTTTTTTAGAGGTAGGAACTATTATTAATAAGGTAGTTTTCACAATGCCTAGAGCAGCAGTTCATGGCTCAGTAAAAGTTCTCAAAATAAAGTTTATTGAATAGATAAATGTTAAAAAGGTGATGTAGGCTATTAGTAAACACATACCAATCTTAACAGCTTCTTCTGCCTTCTTAACCTCATTTTTAAATGTTCCTTTAAAAGAAGATGTAACATACAGATACTTTCTAGAAAGAAAAAAATAAAAGAGGAATACGAACAAGTTAGATTATCACTTTAAAGTACACAGTATGAAAATATTCTTTCATAAACTATATGCTCCAGAGATATGAAATTATTAAGAAAGATTAATTGGATTAAGTTATATCCACCTGGTAAACAGCAAATTTTATACCCAAGAAGAAATTCCATTCCTTTTAATGCTTGGTAGTTTTATTTTTGTAATGGCTTAAAGAAACGGAAAGAGATAAGAAAATCTCCAGCCACACAAATGTTCACTTACATGCAAAAAATAGGATACTTTTCATAAAAAAAAATTCTTTATGTGAATGGTCCATTATCAACGCTTCTAGTACACATGCATAGCCCTCTCACTCAGATCATCACTGACTCTTAGGTGAATCGATTCTCCCCAAAATTCTCTCTCACTGGACTGTGCAGAAACACGCAGTAACGTATTATGTAACTACCACAAACACTTCTTCCGCTTTACTGCTCAAGATGACTAGTTTTCAAGTCTTTTGTTCCAAAGAGGCCGAAAAGGATCTAGCACAATCAAGGAAAAAGATTTTATATATCCCCAAAACTCAAAGGAAGCAAACTACATGTGAAAAAGCTCTGTAAAACAAAGTTCTCCCAAACAAACTCGAGAACAGAGGTGGGGGGTGGGGGAGAAAAATGCTGTTGGTAGCAAAGTGTGATTTGGAACCAGACAAAACGACACTCTTACACTCACACAGTTGGTATGTGAATGAATTGGTCTTTGCATTTTAGAGGGTAAATTAACAGTATCCACCAAAATTAATGGTGTATATAATTTCCAACCCAGGAATTTACTTCTGTAATTAGTTCTACAGAAATGATTGCATATGAGCATAAATCTGTATGTCCAAGGATGCCCAAGTATGTTCAGTTAGTCACTGTTTGTAACCATAAAAACCGTAAAAATATTAAATCTACTTCAATAATGGAATACTTGAATAAATCATAGAGTATTATACAACACATTACACATACCAGGGAGAAATCTCCAAGATAACTGCACATGAAGAGAGGAAGTTGAATAACTTTATGTTTTTCAAGAAAAAAAATCTGTGTGTGTGTGTGTGTGTGTAAATGTGTAGAAAGCCAGATGTGTAGAAAGCCTTCCAGTACTGCAAGGGTACTTATTAAATTCCAATCAGAGGTTCCCCTTTGGGAGAGTATGGATTGCTAAAACACAGAATGACTGACAAGTGGTAAAGGGAATTCTTAGTTATTTGATTTTTCCCCAGACTTACTCTACATTGTTTCATTTTTTTATTGATTTTACTATTTTAAGAGAAAAACAAAACTCCTTCCCCTCAAGAGAAATAAAAATATGAAAGAGCTTTGGATATTTTTTAAGTGTTATGTTCAGAACTATGGAGTATAGCATGATATAAGCATTTTCTATGACTGCTTTGATGAGAACAACCTGCAGAAATTTAAACTTAGAGTTGGTGCTTAATTTTCACATTTACAAAATCTGTCTAAAACATTTTGACTAATATCAAGTACAATATTTTTGAAATTTTAGGTTTTTAAAAAAAGACTACAAGAAAACTACACCTCTATTTTTTTTTTAATGTAGGAATACATAGCCAGTATGATAAGTCTTAAATGCATTGTAGTATTCAAAGCTTACCTAGAATGGTTATACAGTAAAATAGTTGTAAGGAGCCTTGGTGGTACAGTGAGTAGGTGTTCAGATGTTAACTGAAGGTCTGTGGTACAAACCCACCAAATGCTCTGTGGAAGATGTGGTGATCTTCTCCTATAAGTATTACAGCCTTGGAAATCGTATAGGCAGTTCTACTCTGTCCCATAGAATCACTGTTAGTTAGAATTGACTTGATGGCACACAACAACAAAAATGTTACAATTCTTAATTATTACACACAACATGTAATGAAGGAGGATCAGAAATTTTCATTCTCATATGAATGTTGATGATAGCTAGATCTGGATGTCAAGTAGGGCTCTCAAACACTAAGCCCAGAATGAAGTGGAGAGAACTCCCTTCACTGTTACTCTGAACCTCCACATATCTGTCCCTCTTGCCATTCCCAAGTTTTTACACAGGGAACAAACTTAGGTTTGACAAAGAATATTAGTGATGGTAGCACAACATGATTGATGCCATTGATGTCACTGAATTGTAGATGTGAAAAATGTTGAATTGGCAAATACGTTGTTATCTATACTTTTAGATAAAAAAATAAAATAGAAATATAAACAAATAAGCGAAAAAACTTAGGAAGTATTCATAATTCCTCATTTTCTCACTACCCTACATTCACTTCATCAGCAAGTCTTATCTTCACAACATCTATGTAATGAAATTATATTTCAGCATTTCTGCCACTATCTTCCTAGCAGAAGTCACCATCATTTCTCACCTGGAATACAGTAATGGTACCCTATCTAGTATCCTTTCCTTCTATCTTGCCCTATAAAATCAATTGCCCACTGTGGTAGTTAAGTTTGTGTGTCAGCTTGGCTGGGCCTTGTTGAGTGGCTGAGCAGCTGTGTGTCTCATCATCCCCTTGATGAGACTGGCAATCAATCCCATGGTGGAATCTCCTGTGAGCAGCTGAGTAGCTTCCTTATGTGGTCTGTTTCCTGCATATAAGTAGAAGCCTTGGGAATGGTCGCCAGCACACTTGAACCCTGCATGTAACCAAGTCATTGTTCAGCAGCCTGCCATGCTCTACTGACCTTGGGACTTTCAGTGGACTTGTGGTTTGGTAACATCAGGACTGTGCCATTTTACTTGTCAACCTTGGGCTTGTCAGTCTCAGAAGCCAGCAGCTGAGTGAAGAAAAGCCCCCAGCTTCAGTAGACTGCAAAGAGGAGGCAGAGCTAAAGCACAATGCTGAGGGGCTTTCATCCAGCCCCCAGAGTGTGGCACTTTGAACTTGGACTTAAAGCCTCCAAACTCTAAGAAAATAAACTCCTGTTTCTTCAAGCCATACCATTTGTAGTATATTCTTGTCAGAGCAATACTAGGTAACCAGAACACCTGCTCAGAAGCCATAATGGTCTTTGAAAAACTATCAATGATGTAATGTCACTTCTCTGCTCAAATGCAATCACCTGTTCATAAAATGCTGCTCAAGGCCTTACATGATCTGTCCCCATCTACCAGTCCCTCCCCAATCACTGTGTCTAGTTATTCCTGCCTGTGCATCACTGTCTTTTCTTATTAGACTATCTTCCTACAAAATTCCTGCACAATTCATTCTTGTTATTATTTATTATTATTATTATTATTATTTTAACTTTTCATCATGATTTGGGTGCAAGTTTGCAGAACAAATTGGTTTTCCATTCAACAGGTCATACAAATTTTGCTTCATGACATTGACTACAATCTCCAAAAATAATAATGCTTTTCCCATTGCCTCCTTGTGGTTACCATTTCTCTTACTACTTTTTCCCATCCATTCCTCCCATCTGAGCTCTATCCCAGGGCAAATGCTATACTTTTGATCTCTTATGGTTGATTTTTCTAAAGAGTATACCTTCTTGGTGTTACTGTTCATCCCATATGTCTGTCTATTGTTTGGCTGAAAGTTGAACCATGGAGGCAAATTCAATTCCAGACTTTAAGGGTGGTGAAGAGCCATTGTCTTGGGTACCACAAGTCTTTGTCAGACCAACAAGAATGATCTTTTTTTTTTTTTTTTTTTTTTAATTATTTTGAGTTTGTTCCACATTTTTCTCCCACTCTATCCAGAATCTCCTATTGTGATCTCTTTCAGAGTGGTTGCCAGTGGTAGCTGGGCACCATCTAATTCTGGTTTCACAGATGCTGAGGTCCACCTGGTCCACTAGTCCCTTGGACTAATTGTTTCCATATCTTTGATTTTCTTTACTCTTCATTGCTCTGGATGTGGTGAAACCAATAGTTGCACCTTTGATGGCTGTTCATAAGCTTTTAAAATACCAGTTACTGCTCACCAAAGTAGGACTTAGAACAATGTCTTTGTGGACAATGTTATGCCATTTGACATTGACGTCCCTGTGACTACGGTCCTGGGCCTGCAGGTCCAATGATCCACTCCATCAAGATACTTGGTTTTGGTTAAGAAGTTTTTATAACTTTACTCCATTAGCTCTACTACACACGTAGATATTTTTACAACACATTCAAATACCTATATAGAAACGTACTCTGCCATTGAACCTGTGGGCTTGGGACCATAGTTGCAGGGGACATCAAGCTCAATTGGCATAACATGCTATACAAAACATTGTTCCACCTCCTACTTTGCCAAGTAGCAACTGGGATCTTAAAAGTTAGCAAGCTGCCATCTAGATGCAATGATGGGTCTCTCCTCATCCAGAGCAAAGAAGAATGAAGAAAACCAAAATTCATGGAAACAATTAGTCCTAGCGACTGGTACACCATCCGATCTGCAGCCTATATGACTATGAGACCAGAAGAACTAGATGGTGCCCAGCTACCACTGTCATCCACTTGGAAGGGGATCTATGTAGGAGATCCTTGATGGAGAGGGAGAACAATGTGGAACAAAACTCAAAATCATTTGGAGGAAAAAAAAGTGAGTGGGGGGGACCAGGTTTGCTGGTCTGATAGAGGCTGGTGGAATCACTGAGACTATAGCCCCTAACTGCCCTTCAGGTCTGGAATTGAACCCACACCTGTGGTTTCCAGCCAAACAAAAGACAGGCATATGAGTTGAACATTTACCTCAAGTAGATACACTCCTTGGAGAGAACAATCATGAGAGAAAGAAAGGTTGATTAGGCCCAGGGAGACAGCTCAGGGGGGCAGGAGTTCATGGAGGGATGGACACAGGGAAGAGGTAACTATGGGGAGGAAATAGGAGGGGAGCTGTTGCATTGTGGTAAACTGTGGTCAATGTCATGAGACAAAGTATATGTAAACTGCTGTATGGAAAGTGAATTTGCTCTGTAAATCTTCACCCAAATCACAACAAAAAAAAAAGGAAGAAAAAAG